AGCAAAGGTCGCGGCCAGGGCGCCCCCGGGGCCGGGAGTGGAGGGTCCTGCGGGCGGGCCCCTGGCCCCGCGGCCTCTGCCTGGCTGGAGAAGCGGGTAGGACGGAGCTGGGTGTGAGCCCTTGCCGAGACTGAGCTGTGCTTTGCCGGCGGGTTTCGTCCGTCTGTAACGCGGTGCGTAGGAAATGCAGTTCTCCTTGGAGCCACACGGAGTGTTACCTGTTATAAGCGATAAAAAATAGTTGTAGAGACGACGTCCTGGCAGCAGTTGCCAAAGAGCTGTCGAAGAGCAGCGTTTCATCTCGAAGCCGCCTGCTTCGTGTGAACGTTTCTTATGGAGGTACCAAGCCTGTATGCTCCCGGTAGCACAAGCTCAGTTCGCTCACTGGGAAGAACCTGCCCGTTCAGGCTTTAGAACTTTCCTCTGTAGAGATCGCATGTGTTCAGAGGTGAATTACACTTCTTTTACACGTGACATTTCTAAACTGTACTGTGTATTTCATAGTACCACTAGTTCTGCTCAAATAAAAATATCTTAAGATTTAAGGTGTGATGTTTTAATATATATAGGTGTAGTTGTTACCACACCTGTAAAACACATTGTTTGTCCTCACATCTGCGTGATTGCAGTTAAAGGATAATTAAGAGTCATGAAGTGGAATGATAATAGGTTTTATGTTGTGTTGGCTAACTGCAGAACTGCTGTTAAGAAACCACTGAAGATAAAGCCTATTGCTTTGCATATGGAAACCAGTATCCTGGCTGTTGCTGTGCAGAGTTCAAATGGAGGATGTTTGTCCTGGCCTTGTCAGTCACCATTCTCAGCAGAACATTTCAATCAAGATATTGCTGATTTTACTCACAAGGTTTTGCAGAAGTACTCTGTTTTAAATATGATATTCTCCTTCTTCACCCCTGGAATTAGAGAAGGAAGATCCTTAAATGAAGGAAAAATAACTGTCAGGGTGCATCAATTCATAGACCTTTTAGGTGTAACTAGTTTTGGTGCTAACCATACTTGTTTTACAAGTACAAATCACACAATTTATTTTTTTTTTTTTGTGAAAGAGAAAAATTACAACAAGAATGCAAAGTCCTAATCAAAGTCCTATTTTCATAATTTTAAACTTTAATTTGGTCCATTTGCTTAAGAAGAAATTCTAATTTGTTCTTGCAACAATTAGTGTGTCTGCAGCAAAGCTAAAGATGAACTGTATCTACTGCTTCTAGCTTTGCCTCAAGTATGCTTGGGTTTGAGTCTGAGCTTTTATTGTAGGCCATGATATTTTACTTTAGATGAACTGTTTAGTATCAGTAGACCAAATGTGTCTCAACGTGTGTTGAAATGTCAGAAGAGATGAACTTGCATGTCTTATCTGTACAGTTGCTTGGTCACTTTTAATGAAGTCTAAATCTTTTAAAGTTCAGAATTGAAGGAACTTAAAATATTCCACTTGTGTGCATGCCTGGTATCCTATGTCAGCTGTCAGAAATGGCTGGCCAGTGTAGGGAAGAATGTTTAAAGGGGACATCCTTTGCTTTCTTTTTTTTCTTTTTTTTTCCCCATTACAAAATCATACTGCACATTCCTAACTTGCAAATCTAAAAATCTGTGCTTTTGCTTCCTGATGTTCACATTGCCAGGTAGCCACTAAAAGTGGGAGCTGTTATATTTGTTGTGCTACTTGTATCTCTGAAAACGAATCATTTGACAGATTTGGGTTTTGTTTTTGCAGCACATCAGTGCTTTCATGCCCTAAAGCTGATAAAGAAATCATACTGCACATTCCTAACTTGCAAATCTAAAAATCTGTGCTTTTGCTTCCTGATGTTCACATTGCCAGGTAGCCACTAAAAGTGGGAGCTGTTATATTTGTTGTGCTACTTGTATCTCTGAAAACGAATCATTTGACAGATTTGGGTTTTGTTTTTGCAGCACATCAGTGCTTTCATGCCCTAAAGCTGATAAAGAGAGACTGCTGTCCATCACTGCACATCACAAGATGTGCATCCACTGCCTCTGTGCCTCGCATAACTACACATTACACAATTCATCCTCGGGACAAAGACAAACGATGGGAAGGTGAGTGAAAAAATGCATTCTGTAAATTATTCAGTTTTAAAGACACTGAAATTTGCTGTTTTTTTTGTTTTTTTTTTTTTTTAAATGCAAATTCTATACTCTTAAATACAGTACTAATATTCCAAACTAAGTTTTGTAGTTCTGTCTCACAATGAGTGTCTTTAGTGCTATAAAATGGGATCAGATTAAAACTGATCCTAGTTATTTAAGGAAAATATATAAGCAGCTTTTGCTTTAGTCACTATCACAACAAGATTTAATTGTCAGGTATGTATCTGCTGGATTTTTTCAGTTGTTATTACCATGAGAGTTTGTAGGACAATAAAATTAATATATATGTCTGGGCATTCCAGTCTCTACATTCAGCAATTTTAATGGTTTCAATTCCAGAAAAGTCACTGATTAATTAATGTAAAATAAAGTAACGTGTTTTGACTAAGAGTGTTTTTGCTTTTCTTTCTCCCTTGAGTTTCAGGAGCCATCTGGGCTCTTAAATTCTAGCATTCAAAGATGATACTTAATTACAGTGCATAGAAAACAAGTATATGTTTTTATGGTATATCTTCTTGCAACTTTTTTTAGAATGAGTTAGTTTTGCATTGGGATGCTACTGTCCTTCTCCACTCTCACAAGTACTGAAGTGGGAATTCTGTTGAGAATTTAGCCTCCTTTTATGCAGAGGAATAGATCTGGGATACCCAGTAGCCTGTATCACAGAGCAAGGCTTAGTGAGACAGAAGCTGGGGGAATTGGAGATGGGTTTACGTTATTATCTTTTTTCTCTTAAAGGGGTGAACATGGAAAGATTTGTAGAGGAAGCTGATGTTGTCATTGTGGGAGCAGGCCCTGCGGGCCTTTCTGCAGCTATCCGCCTCAAGCAGTTGGCTGCTGAGCACGGCAGAGAGATGCGTGTCTGTCTGGTGGAGAAGGCTTCTCAGATCGGGGCACATACCCTCTCTGGTGCTTGCCTTGAGCCACGGTCCTTACAGGAGCTCTTCCCAGACTGGAAGGAGCGGGGGGTACGTATGAGCATGTAAACACTGCAGGTAATCACTAGCTTGGAATGAACTCCATATCTGACTCATTCTAGTATCACTTTGCACCTTGATTTGATAGCTTTGTTACCTAGTACAGTATCAAAATATGTCAATCTAACCAAAAAACCCCAACACCTCCTATCTTCTTTTTAGCCTGTTTCCTCTAGTTTGACAGTGATGAAGTTTTATGTCTACAGAGATAGGCTGTAGCCTTTGCTCCTTTGCACAGCACTCTTACTGCATGGGCATCCCGGGGTGCGCCGCGCTCACGGCACTTGTGCTGAATCCAGCTCCCCTGCACAGGCAGCAAGATGGTTGGTTCTCAGCAATGTCAGACTTGTTACTTCTGTACAATAGTTCTTCATAGAACTCCAGCTCTGGAGCCCCCAACACAAGAAGGGTGTGGACCTGTTGGAGCTTGTCCAGAGGAGAGCAACAAAAATGATCAGAGGGCTGGAGCACTGCTCCTGTGAAGACAGGCTGAGAGAGTTGGGGTTGTCCAGCCTGCAGAAGAGAAGACTCTGGGGGGACCTTATAGAGACCTTCCAGTACCTGAAAGGGGTCTATAAGAAGGGGGGTGAAGATCTGCTCTCATGGGTTTGTAGCGACAGGACATGGAGTAATGGGTTTAAGCTAGAAAAGGGTAGATTTAGGTTAGACATTAGGAAAAAGTTCTTTAATGTAAGGGTGATCAATCACTGGAAGAGGTTACCCAGAACAGGTTACCCAGAGACGTTCAAGGTTAGGCTTGATGGGGCCCTGAGCAACCTGACCTAGTTATAGATGTTCCTGCTTATTGTAGAGGGGTTGGACTAGATGGCTTTTAGAGGCCCCTTCCAACCCAATTCTGTGATTCTATTCTATGATAGTCTCAGGAGATGGCATATAGTACACTCATTTTTGTACTGGTGTAACGGAGGCCCAAGATACTTTTAGGGAGAATAGCAAGAAATGAGCTGCCATCTTTGTCAGAACAGCATCTAACTTGAAGCCTGCTGCCTGCTGTCACCAGGGAGCTGCAAGAGGTGTGCTGTCAACTAGTTGTTTTGTCTTACTGGGATAAATATGCAAGTTGATTTGCATTCTCTAGAAAGGTCTAGGATACTGAAGTAGTACAAGCCTGTGTACAAAATATAGAAGAGATTTTCAAGGCCCTGTTCTGTTTTTTTTTACTTCAGTAGTGTGTTGATTCTTGCCTGATGACTGCCTCACAAAGTACTTCATCTTCTCTCCTGTGATACCTTCCTACAGAAGGTATCCTGAACCTTTACTGGACTGCCAGTTCAATTGTTTATTTCATTTGTTGTTGGTTGTGTTGAATAGGCTAGAAGAACATAACTCTTAGTACTGTTTCTGTTTTCTTTTTTATGAAGGCTCCACTTCATACTCCTGTAACTGAAGACAAGTTTGGAATTTTAACAAAGAAATCTAGAATTCCAGTTCCAATTCTTCCAGGTAAAGTTTAGTGATGTGGTAGTGTGTCATTTTCAACTTTTCCATTGATCAAACACTGAAAAGAATCTGGCCCCATATTCCTGACACTCACCCTTTAGATATTTAGAAGCATTCATAAGATGGCTTCTCAGTCTTCTCTTCTCCAGCCTAAAGAGCTCCAAGTCTCTCAGCCTTTCCTCATGAGAGAGATGCTCCAGTCCCCTAATCATCTTCATAGCCCACTGTTGGACTCACTCCAGTAGTTCCCTGACATCCCTAACACATGACAGTACTGTGAAAATAGTGGTTGTAGAAGATGATCTGACATCTGATATATGCAACTGCTGTTACTTGGCTTAGTGTTCTGTGTTTTAGGGGTGTGTGTGTCTTTTTTGCCTAGGACTGCCGATGGCTAATCATGGAAATTACATAGTACGTCTGGGCCACTTTGTGAGTTGGCTGGGTGAACAAGCAGAAGCTCTGGGTGTTGAGGTGTATCCAGGCTGCGCAGCAGCTGAGGTAATGATGACATCAGTGTACATATGAAAAGGGTTTTTGGAACCCTCTTCACTCCCAATCATTTGTACATTCACAACATTCCTTTTAACAGACATGTACAGTGAGAACTGTTTCAGTGTCTAAATTCCCTGTCCCAGATCGAGCAAAGTGCAAGTATATAATACAGTATGTAAATAAATGATCTTCAAGTTTGACCATTAAAGATGTAGTGCTTAGATGTTCTGCATTAGAACTTTTTATGAGTGAATTACAATGACAGATCATTAAAATTATTTTTTTGTTGTTTAAATATTTCCAAAGGTTCTTTTTCATGAAGATGGTAGCGTGAAAGGGATAGCAACTAATGATGTAGGCATTCAAAAGGATGGAGCACCTAAAGTAAGTAGCTGTCTTCCCCATAACAAGGGTTCTAATTGTGGAAATAGTGATAGATCTGCTTCTACTGCCATCAGTAATTTTGCTGAAGCCAAAGAAGAAGTGTAAAATTCACTACTTGTTTTCCCTGTCTGTATGTAAAAAGGATTGATTACCTGTGAAAGTCCTGCTCTCAGAACATTGTAAACTTCTGGGATTAGCAGAAAAAGCCTTTGCAGAGAGGAGCTTTGTTTGAGAGTGACTTCAAGTACTTACTGTAAGGGTGCTTTGGTGCATATGAAGTCATGGAACAAAGAAATAATTCTAGGAACTCCTAGAAAAAAGGTTCCAAGGTGAAATAAGGAATTGTCCGTCTGGTAAGTAGCAAGATGTAAGAGAGCATGCTTCTGGCTGATTTGGGTTGGGTTTTTTTGATATTTACAACTGCAGTCACAGTTGTTGATAGTCTCTCTGCCTTGTTGGGGCAAGGGACACACTGAATCTTTACACCTTTCTGCAGGTTGGTCACGTTTCTGTACCCAGAAGGTGACTCCCTGCTCTAAGTGTCAGACTGATTTTTAGCAGAATCCAGAACCTGTGGTAAATGTGTTGCTTCCCTGTGCAATGTGTAGGGAGAGTTTGGCCATCTCAGAATAACTTTCACAAAGAACTATTTGGCTGTAGAAATTATGGACACAAACTTGTTATTAAGATTTAGTGTCTTGTATGTCCCTGACTAGTTATGTGGAATTTTAAAGAGGCATTTACTTTCCTGTAAAAGTGAGGGCTTTTTTTTCCCATTTAAGGCAGGGAATGAGAGGAAAAGACTCATTCTTGTTTTGAGGGGATGCAGGCAGTGGAGGAGGAAGTGGTGTCAGGGAGCAGTACCTCTTCCCAGGACGATGCTGCCTGACTCCTGCAGGGGACAGGAGTGCTCTCCTCAGGGACACATTTTCTCCAGGAGGAGACACAAGTGGCACGCACAACTTGCTGCGGAAGTGAAGAGTCATCGGGAGCTGGGTTTGGTCTTGTTGAAAATAGCAGAAAGAACAACTTGTTCCTGTAGAACTGTGATTTTATTATTATTTTTTAAGCATCCTCAAAACATAGATTTTTCTTTTTCTCCATTTATTCTGGAAGAATGTGTCTATTAACTTCTTTAATATTTAATACATAATTAGTGTGGCACTGCTGCAACCTTTTGAGTATTCAGGTGCTTCAGTCAGCTGATAGTACCTCCAGTGTATAAAGGTCCAGGTAAATAGATGTAGTTTGTACAACCTTCAAAGCAAGAATATCTTCAATATGTTTATACAAAGTCTAATCAAATAGACTGTGGTTAATGAATAGGGTTTCACCTTGTAGTCAGCACCAATCAAACAAAAATGCTGATGGTAAAAAATATATAATAAAAAGTTGTACATTGGTTCTTGTGTAGATGCTGGAGAAGGATGGTAACTGTGAAATAAAACTTTGTCATGTTACGCGTTACTGAAACATTTTGAATTCATGAATTTCTGATATTTACAGCGTTGTGTAGGAGTTAACCGATCTATTTTATATAAATCTACTTAAGATTAGACAGTATATACTACTAATCTTCAGATAAAGCAAGTCCTTGTAGTTCTCTTAGTATTTTGTAAGATTCATTCATGTTCAAGTTGATGATCACAGATTCAAAGAATGGACAAAAAATTAAGGAAAAATCTTGTAACTCCTGTTTAACGGTAATTCCCAACTAGAGGAAACATTTTCATTTGCTAGACTTTTTCAGTGGTTTCCAGCCAGTAAGTTACAAGCAGATTGCACATGAGAGACAGTTCAAAACCAAAGCAATAAACTTCTCCTGGACTTTTGCTGTTTTACCTTGAGATGGTTTTATGAGGTATGGCTGGACATCTTAATCCAAAACTATTTTCATGATCTTTTTCAGCTTTAAACTTTCTGATGCAAATCAAGCTTTTTTAAAAGTTTAGGGTTTTCCCCTACTAGTTTATGTATATTAAGAGTCTCGTATCCTTACATTGCAAATATTACCTAGTCATAGTCTTGTCCAGTGAGCTCACATATGCAGGTGATGTACACAAGTATATGCCAGTTCCCCTTATCTTACTCTAAATCTCATTGTTGGAATTTTTCATGCGAGTTTTTTTTGCAATGGTACTTAGTGCTAGCTTAATTTTACTCTGTTTTAACTTGTAAAGCTAGTGTAATGTTACAGTAACTTTATTCTGAGGTAGTGAGTTCTTTAGGGGCAGTGGTGATGCAGGTTTTTTTTTAATCTGGTGTTTCTGTCTAGCCTCCGTCTTATTTGTACAGGGAGGGACACATAACGCTTTACTGTAATGTGACTTCCTGAGCAGAAATTAAAGTGTGAAGTTATAGATTAAGATTCTTTTGTTAGGGTTTCTTTGCACCATATGAATGGGCAAATGTGGTGTAAGTGTCCTCCAATCTGGAAAAGATTTTTTTTTTTCCAGTAATGAATGTTGATTCAATGTGGTGCTGTTGTATGGAATCCCCTTACAGGATTTGCCATGGGTGCATCATAGTTAGGTGGAAAAGACAAAGGGAGGGATACATAACGCTTTACTGTAATGTGACTGACTTCCTGAGCAAAAATTAAAGTGTGAAGTTATAGATTAAGATTCTTTTGTTAGGGTTTCTTTGCACCATATGAATGGGCAAATGTGGTGTAAGTGTCCTCCAATCTGGAAAAGATTTTTTTTTTTCCAGTAATGAATGTTGATTCAATGTGGTGCTGTTGTATGGAATCCCCTTACAGGATTTGCCATGGGTGCATCATAGTTAGGTGGAAAAGACAAGTGGATTAGAGCCATAGCTTGCAATAGTTTGTAAGTTCTGGGCAGTGACACAAAATAGTGTAAAATCACTTTATTGCTTTGCAGTTTCATGCTGTAAGTTTGGTGTGGCACAGATCTCTCTGCTAATGAAATGCTCTCCTTTTGCAGGCTACCTTTGAAAGAGGTTTGGAACTCCATGCTAAAGTCACAGTCTTTGCTGAAGGTTGTCATGGACATCTAGCCAAACAGCTGTACAAAAAATACAACCTAAGGGAGAATTGTCAACCTCAGAGCTATGGCATTGGACTGAAAGAGGTATCCCCTGAGTAATTTTAATATTTACAGAAAATACTCTGAAGCTATAAGGTAGTTTCTGTTTGCTTTCAAGCTAATATATATAAGATATTATAAGGATAGTTTTTGACTTACACTTTCAGGTTTTAGAATGTTTGCTATTCTGAAGCTGATCAGAGAATTTGCTTCCTGAATATTGTTACTGTTTAGTGTCAGCTGCTTCTTCTCTTATATCTGTGTTATAGCTGGAGGTACCTATGAATCTACTCTGTTAACATCTTTATTTGATTTCAAACTACATTAATTTGTGAATTCTGTTTTCAGTACTTTTACTAAATGAGGTGGATTTATGCTGCCTAATTTTAGGGGGGTTTAGTACCTGAGGAGGGGAGGAAAGGCTTTCTGTGGATTTTCTCAGAGAGAGAAGAGCTGCTCCAGATGAATCATAGTCTCTGAAAGACCTTCTGGATGAGTTCTTTTTTTCCCAAAAAAAGTCCCTTCACTGGGCTTATAAAATAGGGATAGGAATCAGATTTCCTTTTTAAATTATTTTATTGTCAGGAAATACCACTCATTAAAAAGATCTGTATTATTTATTATATGTTCAGTGTTTGACTATAACATTCTTTTTTTACTACTTTAAGCATAGGCTTCCATCTATAAAATATTTGTTAGATAATTATTTTACACTTCTGTAGAGAATAACCACTCTGTAAATGTATGGCATAGTCTTAGATACAGTTTCTAATACCTAAGCTGTCAGTACAGCAATAGTACAGTCCGAGTGGATCTGTGAAGTGAAGTAGTTGGTGCTGATGCGCTGATATCCACACTGTGCTCATTTCAGGTTTATTTTTACTTCACACTAGCTCTGGTCTAGTCCCATGGACTGAGTGCCCTTTCGTGACTGGGATGGGCTTTAGATGGGCTTCTGGAGCCTGTCTTACAGTTTAGTTTCATGTGAAGGGAATTCAGTTTGTGCCTCCCATGGGTACTATGTGGTGGGAACTGAAGCACACTAAATGGGAAGAATCAAGAGCCCTGCTCAAAAGTGTGCTCCTTAACCTAAACTGAACCATTCATGTAGAGCAGCTCCATGCTTGAGCTGATCTAATGGTGCTCAGCTGCCCTTCTGTCACTGGAGTGCACCTGGCACATAACTCCATCACGAAGAGACATTTTGTGAAATGAGCAGAAAATTTGCGCCAAAGTGTCTATAAAAGTCCTTAATATGAAGGATCTTGTGGTTCAATGAAAATTTTGGTCATAGTACTGGAGTTTCAGTCACATTTTCTGATGCACAACATCTCAAGAAAGAGAAGTATTAGGAAATTCTTAAATGGTAATCCAAAATAAAGTATACTTATTACCTGGTATTTTGCTGTTTGCATTTATGAATTTGTCCTAGCAGTAAATGAATCTTCTCCTATATATTCTAATTGTGTATTTGTCTTTTATTATATTATTGAGAGGCCATTACTTTGCAAAATAAATTTCTGGTTGTCTTCATTTCAGTTATGGACTATTGATGAAAAGAAATGGAAACCAGGAAGAGTAGAACATACTGTAGGCTGGCCTTTAGACAGACATACATATGGAGGATCCTTTCTTTATCACTTAAATGAGGGTGAACCTTTAGTTGCTCTTGGATTTGTGGTAAGTGAAGATACTTTTTTTCATGCTTGTTTGTTGTTGTTTGGTCTTCATTTTTATATCATTTTTTTTTTT